GGAAGTTTTCAACCGAAGGTGGAAAAAAAATGCAGAGACTTTCACTCTGTGGTGGCGGTGTGAGAATAATATTTACAGAGAATCACACCCCGCATCATTCATCACAAAATCACACACCCCGGCTAGTCCCATGAAACTAGGAGTTAATCCATCATCTGCCTCCCTTCTCCCCCCCTCCCCCCTCCCCCTCTCCCTCTACCCCTGATTCAGGCTTACACCTTCCATCCTCTCACCTTCACTGCGAAGGACACAAAAGAAAAACTTTGGAGATAAAAAAAAAGAGAAGAAAATAGTGGTGGTGGCGGTCTCCAAAGTCAAAGTCACCCCACGTGGATAACCAGGCACACAGAAAGGCCGGAGGCCTCCACGACGGAGGCATCTGTTCTGCCTTGTCCTCCGGTGGAGATGATGGACAAGTCTCCGGGCCGCAGAGATTAATGCTTGCGTAAGCACAATAAACCATTTGAAGGGGTCTAATTAGTCCATCCTTCGGGAGGCAGCAAGACTGCAAAAGTGCTGAAGGTTTCCCATTTGCAACTTTTTAAACGACTACGCTGTTGTTACAATCTGAATTGTATTTGTTTCTTTTTGGCATATAATCATTGTTTAGTTTTCATATATCAACTTGTCTGGTTTTGTTTGTTTTGTTTTTCATCATCCTTAACTTTATTGAAAGACCCACAATCAGCTGTTTTTATGAAAATCGTTGGAGCAGAACCAAAGATGTCCTCTGACTATTCCACACCTACATTACCCACAATGCAACTCTCAGTGGGGATTCAAACAGAGTTGAAAACAGGGCCGGGGGCTGCGTTGGTGGAAGTGTGTTTAAGGTCCTTGAAGTCCGGCTGGAGGGACTGATTAATGCGTTCAAAAGCTTATCGCGGTGACAATTCATAGGATTGTCTATGTGTGTGTGTGTGTGTGTGTGTAGGAGGATTTTCCTTCTTATCAACTTGTAAACCAAGATTTATTTTTATTATTTATTATGTTTTTGATTCGCATCAAGCCATTTGCCTAGTAGGTTACGGTTCAAGTTTGAATGAATGTCAATAAATAAGTTACCTTTAATCCAGTCACATCGTGACCTGAAGATCCGAATGTGACAAAAAGTGTAAAAGCACCTTCGATCGGACGGATTGGCCAGACCGCATTTAAATTTCCACGATTATATGACTGGTGCAGGATCAAGATAATGCTAACTTTTATTAATATCATGTCTAAATGCCACAGCCATCATCGCCCGCATAATGTATCCAGATATAGCACATGTGTTCATTTGAGGAGTAAATGTGTTCTGATCTCTCGACTTCTGGTGACTTTGAGATCATATCCTCCAAAATCAGATTTTTCAGGCTTATTTTATAGTCAGAATTCTAGATATATTTTGCACACATGTAAGCCTAGTTTTTGGGATAATTTTTGTTGAATGCGGAAATAAATCAGTTTTCTTTTAAACTTCGGTGTTTTTTTTTTATATTTCAAAGGACTTCTGGCTGCCATGATGTAAACAAATAAGAACACCTTCAGAAATCTTAAGACCAACTGTGTCTTGGCTGGAAAACAGATTTTCTTTCCTCCTTTTAACCTTGTTCAGTAATTTAAGCCAATTAAGAAAAGCACATTTTCCAAAAAATCAACACATACACTGATATTTGAAAAATATTGCCCCCCCCCCATTGCTAGTAGTCGGCTTTCTAATAAAAAGAGCTAACATACTTTAAATTCTGTGTGAACAATTATTTGTCTTGATGTGGATGCTAATTGGCAAATGGTCATTGGTGTCGCCAACCCGCCAAAGCACTACGATGTACATGTGCCGCTCTGTCGGGGGAGTAAGAGACGCTGTGCATACTTTGTTTCTATTAACTGTCATTCTCCCTCTGTCAGCCAATCAAATCTAATTTATAAGTCTGGGAGAAGACGGCATGATGCTGCAGCCATTACCAGCCGGAAGGGGGGAAAAAAAACGACGCAGACTTTGTCTTCCCCGCTTCCCTTCGCTCCATCTCCTTCTCCCCCGTCTTGGACCTAATCCACTTAGTTGGCTCTTCCTGAGCTTACAGACTTTCCTTTATTCCATTATAAAGACCCACCGTACGGCCTACTGCTTATTTCATTAAAAAGGCCCAATCCGTGACCCCGCTGCTAATCCACGATGCAGACTATACGGGCCGGGCCTGTAGCCACTCTGCAGCCCAGCAGGGCGGCTGACAGATGGGACTGAGGGAAGTCGGGATGGAAGAGGCCGAGGTCCAACGAATGAGAGGGGGGGGGTTTGAGAGCTCTGCTTATGGGTGAAGCTTCCTGGTGGAAATAGGATTTCACTGATGTAAATGATGATGGAGTTGAGGCTTTGCTACTCTATCTTTGATTGTCGGCGAGATGGCGTTCCCATGGCCCATCTGTCCGTGAGACGGAAATGGCCGCCTATAAGGCTTGAATATAGCCGGTGAAATGAGCATGAAGCTCAAGAGGCTTTCAAAACCACACACGCCTGAACTTGGAGGTGATATCCTAGTCAGTCCGGTAGCTCATTACACTTTGGACCACAAAGCAGGGGATGCTGAATGGTATTGTATTATTCTATCGACCATCTAATTTGACTTTGACTCGTTTCCCTCGGTTTGACCTTCTCTCATCCACCCTTGGCCGCCCTCTGTACCCTAAATGCCCTCTCGCAACCTGCGTTTTCATTGCGTCCACATATCTAAATTTACAACCTGCCTCCTATCAAACTGAGCTTCCCTGCGTTTTGCAGTTAATGGCCTATCGGGTTACGGTTTTATTGATAAAGCAGCACTATTTGGCACCCTGAGCAGCCCATACCTGCGGCAGCCCTTTAGAGATCAGCGAGTCACTCTGAGAAAACGCCGCGTCAGATTAAAGAGGAACGTGTGTGACACCGGTTGATGAGAGAAAGTTTTTTTTTCCATTTATTATTTTAGCTTTCTCTGTCCGGGCCCAACGCAGGGTCATTAAGACGAGTTAACTAAATAATAATCGCTTTCACCTGGGTTCAGCCGCGCGATACGTCCAGGAAGCGACTACAACCCCCCCCTCCATCGACAACACCGGCGTATCTCATTACCGCGGCGACCTGCGGTACACTGCCATTCGGTCTTGATCATATAAAACCCATTTCGGCGTGCCGTCCCCGCCGGAGCACCAGCCGAGTGAAATATTCATTATTCAAATTTTAAGCATTGGAAATCCCAATATGTTACTAAGGCCAGATGAGATGAGATGAAATAGCTTAGCCTTTTGTCCGGGGGAACATTGACTAATCGTCTTGCTCCCCCAAAATCAATTTCCCAGCCGTAAGCATCGGACACTCTTGATTGTACTGTACTGTTGAAGACCCCCCACCACCATCACCTAATACTCCTGCTGGCTGCCCAGAATAACTTATTGATTAGTGATTATGTTACGGGAGGTGTGGGTGGCCGGGGGGGGGGCGGAGGGGGGGGACGGACTGCGCTCAGTCATCTCAACGGGAGCTAAATTTGGTTCCTCCGTTTTCCACCGTCTCCAAGCCGCCACCCAGAAATGTGTAAATATGAGGAATATTTTTTTTCGGGGAGCTCAACAGCGGCGGCGCGTTTCAAGCAAAGCGGCACAGCAGGGAATCGGGAGACGGGTGATGAATTATTAGACGTGGAGAACTAAATAACGAAATAAGCGCACATGTTTGTGCTGGTTGCGGCATGGCGATGGACTGTTTCACCCCGACCCCCCCCCCCCCTGACCCCCCCCGCCGCGCCCCCCCTGGGGTGTTGGGCTGTGCTCTCCCTCTCTATCTGATTCTGTGCTGAGCTTGAAAAGTGGCTGTGATCAATACCTGCAGGCCCTTTTCACAATGCCAGAGGGCAGTTTGTGTGTGTGTGTGTGTGTGTGTGTGTGCGTGTGCGCGTGTTTGCTGTGTCAGCATCCACTCAGAACTTCATCAAACAGCCCCGTGCCGTGACTCCACGTAGACGAGACACAACAAGACGCCCACATCTGTCAACGGCCCTTCAGAAAGTCCCTCATTCTCGCTTTCCCCTTTCTAACCCGCCATCCCTATCTCACACACACACACACACACACACACACACACGCCAGGTCATCCCAACACGGCTGTTAAATACCATTCAAATGTCAGCCTCCCGTATTGATTGGAATGGTAATTCTTAAAGGTACGAGAGATGGCTGGTTGATGCTAAGCGGCGCCTCTCGAGCATCCTTCACTGTCACAAAGTTGCCGCGTAAGGGTTCCCCGGCTCCGCTGGCAGAACGCGGACGGCGGGTTTACGTTTGGACCACCGAGGCCATGCGTGTCTGTCGTTAATCACCGTCCTCTCGGGCCGGCGACAGGCCGACGCCAGCTGTGGGATTGTGTCCGTTGTCTGTTTCCAGATATCCAGCCCGAGACGCGTGCTGCCGCCACAGAGCGGCCGCGCACGTCCGTCGCAGCAGCAGAAATCCCTTTAGTCGCCCTCAGAGCTCTAAAAAATTGAGAGCTTTAAACCATGAAGACTTTTCATTGAATCTACTTCTTGCCGGAGAAAACGTCCCCGTGAAATCGCTTTAGCTTATGGACCAGACTAAGCCTCAAGGTGGGCAGCGTTTTACTTTGCTGGCTCTTTGTGTGTGTGTGTGTGTGTGTGTGTCACACTGTGCGAGATGGGTCCAATAAGATTTTGGTCACAATCTGCGTCGGACTGAATCTGACCAACTACTGGAGACAAATGCGTCGTTGGAAGACTCTCTCTGCGATGTAAACGGGAACAAGTATATGATCTAGATTTCACCGTGTTCCTGCTCTCCAGAGTCACCTTTTGTCTTAAATTGCCCAACACGTTTCAGTGTAAACGGGCCTCTAGGGGAGATGTGGACGACACGCAGCAAAATCTCCTTTTCCAGGTACAATACAGCCCTCATATGGAACATTCCTGGTAATAGCCGTATGAAAATGTAAGCAAGAATGCATCCCTCATCAAGACACCTTTGACCCTCACCTGGCTGGTACCTCGATGTTGGAGATGGCGTAGAAGTACTTGAGCAGGTTGTCCCTCTGGACGTAGGTGCCCCCGAGGGCGGGCCTGAGAAGCCTCATCCTCAGGTTGGTGAAGGTGAAGAAGTCCCTCAAGCCCTTCATACTTTCCATGCGAGTGTACAGGTCGTCCATCTTCTGCAGCCGCGCCCCTGCGAACACGGAAAAGCGCGCCCGCACCTCGAACTTCACGTTCTTGTCGTTCTTGGAGCCCACCCAGCGCGAGTACTGCTCGGTGCAGATGACCCGCGTGATGTTGGCGGGCGAGAGGTCGCGCACGCGCTTGGGTGGCATGTTGAAGGCGTCCATGCAGTCGTCTGCGTAGAACTGGTAGGGCTGCCACGAGCGCCCGTGGTCCATGGACTTATCCAGCACCATGATGGAAGGACGGCCGTACTCGAAGGTGATCTGGACGTCGTCCGTGAGCTCCAGGCTCTTGTTCCAGGCCATGGAGATGTTGGCCAGCAGGGGCTCCGGGTGCCGTCTCCATGTGACCGTCTGCCAGTAGGTGAGCAGGCCGTTGCGTTCCTTGTCCTGCATCAGCTGAGGAGGGTGGGCCAGGTCCGGGTTGGAGGCATCACACTCATCACTGCAGAGGTATGGGTTCTCCTGAAGGAGATGAAGACAGAGCAGTTTTACATCAGCAAAGGTTTGCAGATCAATGTAATAGCGTATCATTGTAGCAGGAAGTATTGTATTGAATAGCGTATCATTGTAGCAGGAAGTACTGTATTGTCAGACGGCGTCACCGACTCGATTAAGATAGATGAGGTTATTATATATGTTACAATTCCCCCTCCCACTTTTCCAGATAAAGTGCAGGCGTTCCCCTTCTCCTGAGCCATGAGCAAACATGAGTACCGATGTAAAAACGTCACAAACGTGTTGATGTTGTTCTCACAGAGGATGGCGTGCATCTCAGCCTGCGACTCCCCGCCGGGGCAGCGAGGGAGGGAGGAGCTTAAAAGTGGACTTGGTAAACACCACAACAGGAAGTGTGAAGGTCGAGAGGATCGTGCTGCTGCACTTTTAACTCCGGAGAATTGATCCTCCCCTTCTAGCGATGCCAAGACTTTTAAGCCCCTCCTCAGAACTCAGAAGTCAACGGGGTTGTTTCCTGCTTCTCACGCACGAGGAGAATTCCCTTTCGATCTCTGTGAGGAGATCTCGGGACTAATTTGATTAGCGGCTTATTCAGATTAGCACATTTCCATGTTCCAAAACATGTCTAGGACCCGTGACCTTTATTCACAGTCGTCAACAAACTTTGTGAAATTTCAAATCCTTCCTCTCAGATGTTTCCCCTCACTCCATAAATCACTAAAACTGATGTATCTCACAGTTGTAAGCCAGTTGTCTGATATCCACCACAGAAGTTAAATATTTGCACAAAGAAATCCCAGAGATCCTCAGTCATCTCTCCTGGTGGTTAATTTGTGAATAAAAAAAGGCCCAGACGCTGTTTGGATTGTATCTCATTCAGAAGGCGTATCCTGCCCTCAGGATGTACTAATTACACTAATAAGGAGTTATTATTTTGCTCAGATATGTAACCTGTCACTCATTGCTTCAAAGGCATCACCATCTTTGTGTTAATTGTTCAACTATTCACTTTATAACACACGGGTGTATTTCATATTCTTTCCCTCTTTCACCCTGAAAACCATGACACAGTTAGACTGACTGATTTACAGAAAATATGTGCGTTATACATAATATATGTTTTATGTGGGTTAAGAATTAGCTGCCCCGTGAAGTTTCCCCTCTGCTGTTTTCTACACCGGTTATATTTCATAGCTGATGTCATCCTTCTTCTTTTATTTATTGGGAATCGAACAGTATTTCTAAATTTGACTGCAGTCAAATCTTGATGGAGACCAGAGGATATCTAAAAATATCCTTTTTTCTTCCACCCCTTTCTTCTCTGTTTTGTTCCTTTTATTATTTATTTTAGTTTTATTCCTGCTTCTAATTGTACTGGTAAAGATTGTGAGCGGCTCATCTTGAAATTCTAAAAAATTATTTTTTACTTCAACATGAAACACATCCCGTTTAATATATCACTGACTTTGTCTTTATTTATTAAACTTTTAAGAGTTAAACACAAGAATGCCCAAAACTGTAATTGTAAAAAAAGACCTTTCTTAAACAACGCACTTCCTCCTTCTTTCTAATATTATCAGAGATTTATAGATAGAAAAAAATCAACATCTTATTCAACATGGCCAATTATATTTTCTAATCAAAAGTGTCTCCACTTTAGAGCCATTTAGATACGCTAACCGGTTTAAAAGAGCTCTCTGAGGAGCTCTCCGGAATTTAACTGCATTTTAATGATCTTACTTTCATTAAAAGATTTTATTTTAAAAGTGCACAGTCACTTTTATCCTTCTCTTAGTTCCCACGTTTGATGTTTAGCAGTTGGAGATCAATGCAGACTTTGATGATAATGCAGTTGATTAATCTTTAACTGTGTAGATTTCTCAAACATTAAACTCAAGGAACATGCTCAGTTATTGGGAAAATACCGGGGCAATAAAAAAAGTCTAGATTTGTGCTTCGCGTAACATTAACTCACTTACGTACTTAGCCGCTAAGAGTTAACTGATATTTACCCATGAATCAATCTATCAAAGAGTCACCACTCAAAGGCCTCCTTAAAGTTTGTGCAAAACGGAAAAAACAGTGAATATTGAAATTCAGCGTGTGTATTTAGCCCGTTTTGGGAGGAGATGTACGTGTTTGGGACATATGGAGGGTTGATTATGAAGTATTTTAAAAAGGTTCAATGGATGCTTTTCCATTTGAGGAGATCATAACTAACAACATAAATTCTTTCGTCAGCAGCCTAAGTGTTCAATACTCAGACGATTTGTGATGAAGTATCTCTTTAAACTGCAGTTTCTCCTGTATGATGTAATCTCTAATGCGAAAGCAATACCGCATAATATCGACGCGCTGGTGCGAGCGCGGATCACGTGTCGCCGCTTCCTTTCAGACGCGCACTTCCTCACTTACTGCCAAGAAGCCGCGGACGGTTCTGCCTTTTTAATAAAGTCGTCGTATTGTACCGAGGGGAAAGTGAGCAGTCAGTCAAAGCCACTCTAGTGGTCTAATAACAAAAGCAAAAGTTACAGTCCTGCGAGGCCGAGATTATAAATCATCTGATTTATGGTGACAGAGCAGAGTGGGAAAACTCCAAACATAAGCAAACGCTGAGCCGCCGCTGAGGGAAGCTGTGCAGCACGGACGCCACTGCACAGGATCGTGATGCGCGGGAAGAAGCAGCGGTGGGAAACACATGATCTCCAACAGCAAAAACCCGCCGATAATCCGTCTCTCTCCCCGCCGCAACGACACGGCGGCACAGTCCTCCATCTGATAACCCAATTATCCCCTTTGCACCGGCACAGATGGAGATCGCTGCCGGGGCGAAGGCGTTCAGGATGACAATCTGACGCTCGTAAAAAAGAAAAAACGACTGCGGAAAGAAAGGAAACGAGCGTTGGCGGACGGCTACCGTTAGCCGAAAGCGGCCTCTGGTTCTGTCAGTCAACGCACCGCCTGACCTCGGCTGAGACACACGTTTACACACACGGGACTGGATTAGTAGGCTGTTGTTCTGCGATGACCCCTCAACCTACAAAGCCCATTGAAAATGATCGCGCTGTCCCAGATACGGCGCTCACGCCGTTAGCGTTAGCTGCTTAGGTGTGACGGCCTTTGTGTTTCTGAGAGAAAGTGTGTTTGTGTAAAGGCAACTCCGAAAAAAACTCACTGCTGTATATATATATATATATATATATATATATATATATATATATATATATATTATTTTTTATTTGATCGTTGGGTCAATAAGCTGCACATTACTCTCAGTCTGCGCCGACCTCTCGCCATCAGCTACAGTAGAGGTGATATCTACTGTGATGTAGACCGGAAGATTCCATCCCCCCCTGAGACTTAGGCAGAGGTTACGTTAAAGCCCTTTGTGTGCCCTGTCCTCCTTTTCCCACTCTCGCCCGGTCCACTACATCTATGCCAGGATACACACACAACGACAAACACACACACACGCGCAGATCCTGGCCAACTGCTGCGGCAGGTGGCCCGCACCGCTAAACCCCTCTAGCAATTATCCTCGCTGGGATCCCGTCTCCACGACAACAGCCGCCGCGATGCCTCGGCCATGAGCGACTTCCTTGTTTTCACTGGCGGATTAACAATGCGATTTCCAAACGCATCTGAGGACACGTCGAGAACTCCTCGAAGTGTTTCGGTCTGCGTCGGCCCACGGGGGCCGATCGAGAGCTCGGTTTACTACGGAGCCATTTCAGCTGCGATAAAACGTTAGCGGTTGCACACAGTTAAGAGTTTACGGGCTGCCGCTGTGCGTCCACACGGGAAGGTGGCATGAAGGAAGTGGTGCTCTGCATGGACTTCCTTGTCTTGTCCGTTGCTTTTTATGACCATTTCTGTCCCCCACCCCCCCAAAATATGTTCTGTCACCGCCGTCGCTCCTCTTTATTTCTTCCTCCACTTATAGCAGTTTCTAAGTTATATTGCTAGCAAGGGGAATAAAAGTAGGAACACACTCGGAGAGAACACAATTTATTTTGTTTTGGAGAAACATCGAATGAAATGACCTTCCCATTAAAAAGGCCACAGAGGCAAAGAGAAAGGGATATTGCTTTTTTAGTTATAACGTTAATCTTTTATTTTGTTGGAGGTTTTTCCATCATATACTAGTTCATGTTACCCTGAGAGACGGTGTGTCTGTGTGTGTGTGCACGGTAGGTGTGTGTGTGTGCGTCGCATCAAGAATTTCTACATCCACGTGTGTGTGTACGTGTTCAATACATCAACGACCACAAATGTAATTACTTTTATCGGTGATAATTTGCTCGCTGTTAAACGGGCAGCGTGAACGTGTCTCAGGTGTGCGTTTGCGTGGGTGGCTGTTGTTTACGTCTCTTTGTGCGCCTTCACGTGCAAGCAAAAGTAAATGTTTGCTGTGGACGTGTGTGACAGTGCTGGAGGAGGAGAGAAGGGAGCACAGAGCGGGGGACGCCGCCACGCTGCTCCCGAGCAGCAGCAGCAGAGCTCGTCCCGCTCGGCGCCGCTCAGCCCGACCAGGACGAGTTATATTTGGAACTTTTCTTAGAACTTGCTGATGCTCACAGCCTGTACTGCGCACTGAAAGAACAACATCTCAACGAGGGTTGCTATTTCTTCTTCTTCTTTGTGAGTGCAGTGATGAGGTGAATTGAGGTAGAGGCTATTATCTTTTATTGAAGCCTGTTATTGAATCTAAACCAATCACAAAGCAGGAGATGTAGATAAAGGGAGGCAGACAATGACGTGAATTGGGCACCGGAGATCTTTGTGTTATGCCTTTTGTGTTTCTTACTCCTCAGATTTAATTTGCTGTATAGCGTCGACGCCACATTGAGCAGCAGAACAAGAACATGGTGCGTAGATTACCCACAATGCAGCTTGAGCACCAACTATTTCATCATGTGCACGAGTTTCGTGGCGATGCGGCGTACAGGGATGAGCAGCGCGCTACAGAGGTCTGGAAGCCTGATTCCTTTTTAACCGCTCGTCCATATTTAGTCGTTTTCAGATCTGGAGCCTTCAGACGCCGACTCATGTGACGGCACTCGGGGCCATTCATCAGACATCTTGCAGCTCCCTCAGCAGCCACAAAAGGATGTAACCAACTCTTTTCACAAAGGATGCAGCTGCACTCCCAAGACCTTTAAATCTTGGCACGGGGTTTAAATAGCATGCATTCTCTATGTGTCGTTATTATGCATTTTGGGCTTTAAGGGACGTGTTGTTTCACGCTAGTCGTTAGCATGGAACACGTTGTAAGGTCGGTGACGGCCTCAGTTAGTGTCAGGCAGCAAAGCACTCAGTTGTGTGTGTGAAAAACATCATTCGAATAAGTTCCAAAACGAATGCGTACAGAAACAACAGAAATAAACACTGGTCTCTTGGTTGAAGGTTCATAAATGTGGCAGTTTTTTTAATGCTACGCCACGTAGCGTGGTCTATTCCTCACACGCGACATTGGCCCTGCAGCTTCTATACTCATGGCCTCTAATCTCCAAACCTGAGATCCTGACGCCGAGACGAGGCGGTTTTGAGAAGTTCACCTCAGCCTGGTCTAAGCTCCTGCGGCCAATCCCTCTAAGTACCACCTCGGCCAGGGATAAATCTCACTTATAACTACCCCCCCGTTCTGCCAACACATCTAAACACGCTCTGATCACTTTCAACTGCGTCCTAACGGCGAAGCAAGCATTACATCACCACGCCCTCCCCCACCTCCTCCGTTCGTACAGTCAGCCGCTCTGTTTCCTTCCCTCTGTTCCCTTCGTTAATTACGCCCTGCACTGTCGAACCTGCTTGTGCTGCGCCCAAATCTCCACCCCCCCCCCCTCTGAGGTTTAGGTTTATTAGGACACTGGCCACCTGGGCAGGCTTTTAGCCCGGGGTGGTGCATCGGGGATGGCCCCTTCGCTGGGCGCGGACGGCCCCGTTGGCGTGGCCCCCGTGGCCCGCCGGCGGGGCGGGGCGGGGCAGGGCGGCCGGGCCCGGCCTGGCGGGGCTACACTGGGCATGGAGTATGAGGTATGGCCAAAGGCCCAGTCTGGGAAGCACTGATCCACGCTACCAGCTGCCATCTTCCTCCCCTTCCTGCATGCTCCCCTTCCGCTGCTGCGCAGCTTCTCTCCCTTCTCATGTCTATTTTTAGAGCTGGCAGATTTCTACCTTCTAAAACGAGCAAATGTGTTGTGGAGCAGGAAGGTGTGCGTGTGTGTGCGCGTGCGTGCGTGTGTGTGTGTTTTCAGTTGTTTGTCTTAGACGTACTACCGTGCGCGCTCGGCCGACCCCGTGCACACGTTTTACACACCGCTGCCGGTCCCCGATAACGTTGGGCACACTGTACATTCCCGTGCACGCATCATCCCATTTGCATTCGGGCTGCTCCCTGTTGTCGGGACCCAAGAGAGCCGGTTGATTGAAGGTTTCGGTTCAGCGTTTAAAAAAAAAGCCGGAAAATAACAAACAAACTGTATGACGAGAGCTTTTCGAGCGCAGGGTTTTCTGTGTCGACGATGTGTGTACTGCCGCGTGGAGATGTGGTCTGATTTCATCTTTCTGCTTAGCTAAGCTTGGAATTCCTCACCTCTCCCTCATCATTAGTGATCCCCCCCCCCCCCCTCTGCAACACACTGCCCCCCCCCCCCTCGTACTGCCTTACTCCATCATCCTCAACTGCAAGCTGAGACTCCAGCTATCATACGCGGGGAACTACAAAGAAACTACTGATGCTTTGTACACGGCACTAGTGACAGTAGCATCTTTGTCAAAGTGCTGGAAGCCCGACATGCTGGAAGAAGCCAACATGTCGGACTGTTTGGATGAGGAGGAAGGATGCTGCATTCCCAGGAACCGAGAGAGATAAAGGGAGTGGGAAGAAATGCTTCCCCCGTGGAGAGGGAGGGCCCATAAACCCCTTTAACCCTATCCAAGCGGAAAAAGCTGCAGAGCCCCTCAACATCAACCCCCCCCCCCCCCGAAAAGTGAGGGAAGTTTTTTGGGGCACACTGTAGCACTCACGGGGTGACGGGAGCAGAGGGAAGTATTTAGCATCTTCCGCAGTGAGTCTCGAGGATGAGCAGCTCTGAACATGATGCAGTCTATTTCTTTTTTTTTTTTTTTACAGTTCCCCCGACATTCCTTTGGCTTGTGGGAACGTACAACTAGATAAGAAACTGGCTTCTCTGTAAAGCTGCCGAACCTGAGGTCAAGAGGAAAATGCTGCTCGCATCAAAATGAAATTGCCGGTATACCAATAATCCTAAAAACAACCCCCCCCCACCCCCCGTCGGTGAAAGAAAGATGGAGATTTGATAACCTCGATTGTGTCACCAGATAATCCAAAGTGTTTGTCTGGTCACAAATTGCAATTATATGAATTATTAAATGCCAGAAATGTAATTTCTTATCACACAGCCGAAAGGATTTGTCAAATAATGACCCAGTGACAGTGTTAAACCTCCTCGTCCTTCTCATTATGTAGGCATTTGAGTCTGACATCCCTCATTTCTTAAGTAAACCTTCATCTCACAGCTGCTTCATTCTCTAAATCCCCAGCCAGCACGGTGGGGGGTGGAGGGGGTGGTGGATCACCACACTCGCAGGTGACATACGAAGAACCAGGACTTTCCACCCCGACGAAGAAGTAAAAGTGCTGACTAAGACCAAACTCCTGCCCGCCCCGCCCCCCTCTGTCCGTCTCCCCATCTCGACCGGCTTAGCGGGGCACTTTGGATCTTCGGTGTGGAGCGACCAAACCCTTGTAAGGAAGCCCATTAAGGAACCCCATCAATATTTTATCGTTGCTCTCACAGAAACGTAGTTATAGAAGTTTCCAGGTCCGGGGCCATTAGGGGGCAGACGTCAATACGTTATGGCAGCGGAGCGTCTCTCTCCCACCTTGTCTCCCTCTCTCCGTCTCCCTCCTCGGGAGAAAAGTCACCGGAGAGGCTTCTCGAGACAAGGTTTCCGCTACCACCACATTAAACAAATCATTAACCATTAGGTATCCGAGGAGCGCAATATCCTTTCCTGCTCCTGTCAGATGACCCCGAGTGCCGTGTTATTAGTCTCCGTGCCAGGAGGCCCCGGAAGGAGGGGAGAGAGGGGGGGGGGGGGGGAAACTGCGGGCGGGAGGGTCGTTTGTTAAATCTGTTCTGAGGTAACGACCCCCCAATCACACGGGATGCAAACGCCTAATTAACAGCGTGGCGTGACGAGCTCAAACACTCCGCAGAAACACTTGTTGTGAGACCCGCGGCTGTTGAGACGAGTCTGGCAGCCTCGGCGCCGGAGAGCGGACAGTCTGTGGCGGCGGGCAGATTGTGGAGAGGGTGAACTAGAAGCCCCCCCCCCCCCCCCCCCCTCCACGCCTACACGCAGGGGAGTCGAACCTCCGATCTGAAACTTTGCTCTGAATAGGCGCGTGGGAGGGAGGTGGGGGGAGTTTAATCGCAGTCTTCTTAGTATTACAGTGATTTTATAACCCGCATTTCAGATTATTACACTCGCATTAGCCGGGATGGGAACTAGCCCGCAGGCTAAAAGTGTGTTAAATATTGCTGTGGCAGACATTTTAACGAGTTTTCCCGCAGCTTTCCCCTTCAGTGTCCTTGGAACTGAAAAGGTTCTGCGATATGCATTTTACCGGAGGAAACGTGAGGTGCTCTAATCAAAACCGGATCCCGGGCTGCCAAGTCCATGCTAATGTAAACAACACCTCCGGACCTCCGAGGGAGGTCGAGTAATGCCAAGTCATTGCACTTATGTCATCCCTTTCAGCTCCCTGTAGACCTTACAGTGTGAATCCTGCAGCGCTAATGTCTGTAATTACTTTTCACTGTTGTCACTATTCAGCTTGACCTTGATGGTTTTCAGAGTATAGTTTTCTGACTTTTTGCACGTTTACGGTGCTTACGATCGACTTCCAAATGAATTTAAACAAAAAACCAAGGTGTTCTGCATGTGTTTCCCACTTTGATATGCGTACAGAAGTTATTCGTGAGGGTGTGAAAGACGCTGGACGAGTCCCGGGGGGGGGGGGGGGGAACTCACCAGGGTGCAGAACCTCTCGGGCGGGTTCCCGCAGGTGATTCCCGGGGGGTCCACCTTGATCCGCATGTAGTCCCTCATGGAGGCGGTCTTCGGCTGGCAGGCGTACTGCTCCCACACCGAGCCCTCGTCCGTGCTCACCAGGGACTTGCACAGTTCGTACTGGCCCAGGGCGGAGGCCAAGCAGTGCAGCAGCAGCAGCAGACACACGGCCTGGAGGAGCATGGCGGGCTGGGGGCGGGGGGGTGGCGTTCAGAGCGGGGTCCGGCACAGGGCGAGGGGGGGGCCACGGAGCTCAGAGGAGATTTGGTGCGCATGGAGCGGTGCTCATAAGGGAGTGGTGGAGATTCCCAGCGCCATACTTGCCGTACTGTGAATGGAGAGATTGACCCTCTTGAGACGCCCCCCCCCCCCCAACGGACGACGACAGGGACGACCGCGTCGGAGACTTTCGCTTAGTGTCTCTTCACAGATATTGACGGACTCCACTGAGCCGAGAGAGGGACGCTGTGTTGTTTTGACGGATGACTTCCTGTGCGAGATGAGCGGCGGATGGAGAGGCGGATAATGTTACAGAGATGAATCTCGGCATACACTTTAACCATAGTGTTGCAGGGAGTTGAGGGGCGAGGACACGTCTCGGAGAGCAGGGTCCTGCAGGGACACAGTGGCGCTGGATGGAGAGGACGAAGGAGTAGGCAGCCCTTCTTCAGGTATATCCATTGGACGTTTGCCGATGGCCGAGCTCCTCCGGTTGTCCTGAGGCGAAATGAGGATAAATGTGAGAGAAGTGGAGAGTTAGTAAGATGAACGATGCCTCCTCATTCATTCAGCACATCCTTTATCTCAGTGTAAATAAGGATTTAGCCTCCTTTTCAGGGCCGGATATCAGATGACAGGTGTCCTGCATGGCGTTTCTCTGTTGCAGTAATAGAAATGTGAGTCTTTCAAATATAGGCTACACTTGGATGGGAGGTTTGTGTTCTCATCCTGTTGCATAATTAACTCCTTAACTCTTACGTAGGCCTAATAATTGGCGGTAATTACGCTTGGGGAGTAGAAAAAGATAAACGCACTGGTCGTCAGACTATGTGAGGAGAACTTTTAAGCGGATATCTGTCACTGCAAGTTGGTTGAGAGCAGCGCAAGTTTTGTCCAAGCCGCCGTCTGACCCTCAGTGGTATTTAACATGAAAAGTTGTAAATTAAAACGCACTAAACGCGCGCGCGCTCCGTGCGGATAACATCGGCACGCACAGGCGGCAGCGGGCAGCAGCACGTGTGTTTACGCACCGAGTTGTAACAGCTGTAATGCTGGATATAAAGATTAGGCTACAGATGTTTGTTTAAAAAAAATAAAAAAAACACTGCACCACAAGGAAAAACCATCTCAAAGAGGAATTTAAATACCGATACCGCCTAGGTTGTCAAAATAAAAGGACAGAATTATACACACTCATCTTGAACCAATATTTTCTTAAAATAATTGATTACTGGCCTCCGGATATTATCATTAAGATAATCAAACTGCACTTAAAGCCACCCGATTATCTTTTAACACGTGAATGCACATGGTTGACACGTTTTGCGGCGCGCCCTCGTTAATTAATCCGACTGTCATACCGCGCGCACCGGACCCTGGTCCTGGACCCGGACTTACTTTGGCGGACGGGTGAAGTCGCCAAAGCTGTTTCGCCGCTACTGACTGTGTTGTAGGGGTGTGTCGGTTTCTACAGTAGTGCCCCCCCACACTCCTCCACCCGCACCCCGCCCCCCGCCCCCAACGCGCAGCATCGCTCGCGTGCTGCACCTTCCGAGTCCAATGCGTAAACGCGTTTGCCCGAAATAGTGCACGCATAGAGGCGAAAGTCCCCTTCCTGCGGGACACGGTGCCGCAACTCAAGTCACGGAGCTTTGGCAGAACGCACCGCGTCCCGATGTGTGCGTGTTCTCAGATCCGGTGGAGCACTTACTTTTCACGTGCATCCGCGAGTTAGGTCAGGGAACATGCACGTCCCCGTCTTTGGGCAACAAAAAAAAAGGATCCCCCCCCCGCATCCACCCGACCCCCTCTCCCCGATCATCCACTGGAACTCGGTCCCCTCCGCGGTCCTCGCGGTACTCCTGTTATCTGGACGCCCCGTCTCGCTGCTTCTTTCTCCCGGAGAGTTGTCCTTCTTGTCTCGGTCCCGCCGTGGACGGCTGCGCGCGGTGGATCGGTGTCCTGGATCTGGAAACGGCTGCGAAAAGAGGAGTGAACAATCCGGCCGAGAGGAGTATCAAAAGTATAAAATGTTGACTTTGAGGAAAGGTTCGTGCCCGCCCTTCTCCCCCCCTCCCTCTCCTCCTCCTCTTCCCACTTTACAAGCTCGGGTTTACCCGGGATGCTCAAGGGCAGAAAGAAAGCGAGAAAAAAAGGCTTTATGGAGAATATCTCCCTACCCCCCTCCCTCTCTCTCTCTCTCTCTCTCTCTCTCTCTCTCTCTCTCTCTCTCTCTCTCTTCTCTCTCTCCCTCTCTCACTCCCCCCTCCTCCCTCTCTCGCTCTCTCTCTCTCTCTCTCTCTGTGTTAATGCCCAGGCTAAATCCTTTTACCATCACTTTCAATCACTATCTGAGCTTGTGTATCTGCTGCAGCCCTGCTGCTTGAACCGGGGCGGTGCTCCGGTCCTGCTCCAAGCGGCCCCCCCCGTGCAGGACCGGTCCGCGCGCCGCACCCTGCTCGGCTTCAAGGGGGGGGAACGTTAATCTGTCCAGATGTGCAAGAAACAAAGAGAAAGAGAAAAAAAAAGAACATTCTCTATGTTCGGTTTGTGTGCAGAGTGATGTCACGGCCGTCCTTGCATCCTGAAATAAAACTATTATAGCTAAATTTCTCTACAACATTCCCCTAAACATGAAACACATATGAGCTTTTCCCGTGGTACGTACATGTTATATGAATTATCTGGATGATAAACCGCTGATCTGAATCTAGTTGAAATGTACAGCGGCCAGGTGCGACGCCGTGTCGCGGCCCCCTCCTGCAGCGGCACTGTGCCCGGGGCCTTCAGCTCCTCATGCAGAGGCCGCTGCCTTACTCGCCTTGTTCCCCCTCAGCTGTGTGTTGCAGTTGTTGATGCTTCCGTGCAGAGGTCATCCAGTGGGACCCAGTTTAGGGGGGCAGCTAGAAAGATGTCTCTGATACATTAGTTTGTGCACATTTTGTTCAGTTTAGTCATCATGATTAAGTCTGTTAAATCTGATAAATGATTTCTTCTGTAAAGCTCTGAAGGGGCTTTTGATGACGTCATCAACTTTTTAACGGAGCTCTTCTTTGAAAACTTGTTGTTCGGATCAGATAAAGGGGGCATTCAGGAGTCCCAGCGAGTCTAATGGAAGACTGTTGAATTGAAATATGGGAAATAAAAGTACTACAGCTTAGACTACACCACAAATTTGAAAAAAAAACATGGGCTCTGAGCTTCAATTATTTCCTTTTCTATTTTTAACCCAACTCTCCTTTGAACATGTCGTTGTTTTTCTTCTGAACTCCGGTGGTCTAACTGGATGCTGTAGTGACATAGAAGTGTACTCCAGGATGTGTCGGTACAGCGTGACATCACTGTCGGGTGAGGGAAGAGGCCAAAAGAAAAGGGGGAGGGGGGGGGAGAAAGAGATGTATGATTCAGTAGGAATTATGGACCTCTGTCTTAAAACCCTGGCGGAACACCCAGGGGAGGATCGATAGTTTGTCCTTGCAGGGTTTTCCTTCTCTTTTCGCATCTCTGAGATGAGCCTTAACCCCTTTTTGTACTGCTGAGGTGTTTTTAGAGAAGAGCGCACCCTTCCCCCCCCCCTCCACTGCACTGTTAACAGGGCCAGACTGAAAGACAAATTCCCCCCTCGGGGATCAATAGAGCGTCACAAATACGGTATTTGCTGCTATATCAGGCTCCTGATATGGAATGACACTTTAATCGACTCTGCACAAAGGCAGAAGGCTAAAATAAAGGCCTGCTGGATTTCTCAAACGGCCTCAGAGATGAAACACCAACTGCAAGTAAAAAAAAAGTCAAAGGCCTGCATTTCACATTGAGTATTGGACTCTCAAAGGCTCGCACATATTTGTATGTGTAACAAGCTTTTTTTTTTTTTCTTGCCCTGTGTGAGGGATTCAGGGTCATCACTGATTCAGCGACGGTCAGAAAGAAAACGTAACTTGAGCTCCAAAACATTTATTTCACAGATGGATAAGGATCACATGTGTAGGCAGAGAAGCTGGGTGCATTTTGTGGAGCCTCTGTGATTAACTCCTCTGTGCTCGTCCTAAAGATCCCGATCGTATTCAGCCAAAATGCACGTTTTCTGCACGGGGAGACGTTTTTCGAACTTGGCCAAATTCACTTGAATGTGCATCAGTGAAATAACTGAAATGTCAACCCTCAACATGATGGATGAGTGATTTTGTGTTTTGGAATTCAATTATGTCCAACTAAATCCGAGCATCAATAACAATAGAGCTGCCTGTCCCGGTTAATAGACCTGTACACAACACAATATGTAGCACAACAGGGCATTGCTGGATTCATTTCCTGCAACAATGTTGGTGTGCATGCTGTGTTCAAAGAGTAAAGAGTAAAACGAGACAACCTCGTTGAAAACGGGCTTGATTGCGAATTGGCCGCGTGTGAACATTATGTAATTTCTGTGATTTACTGAACACGATATAAAAATCTGCTCTGTGAATCATTCGGCTCCCCGGGGCGCGCTCACCAAATCTGAAATCACTATCTGAGCTTGTGTATCTGCTGCAGCCCTGCTGCTTGAGCCGGGGCGGTGCTCCGGTCCTGCTCCAAGCGCCCCCCCCCCGTGCAGGACCCTGCTCGGCTTGAAGGGGGGAAACGTTAATCTGTCCAGATGTGCAAGAAACAAAGAGAAAGAGAAAAAAAAGAACATTCTCTATGTTCGGTTTGTGTGCAGTGATGTCACGGCCAACCTTGCATCCTGAAATAAAACTATTATTATTAAATTTCCCCTAAACATGAAACACATATGAGCTTTTCCCGTGGTACGTACATGTTATATGAATTATCTGGATGATAGACCGCTGATCTGAATCTAGTTGAAATGTACAGCGGCCAGGTGCGACGCCGTGTCGCGGCCCCCTCCTGCAGCGGCACTGTGCCCGGGGCCTTCAGCTCCTCATGCAGAGGCCGCTGCCTTACTCGCCTTGTTCCCCCTCAGCTGTGTGTTGCAGTTGTTGATGCTTCCGTGCAGAGGTCATCCAGTGGGACCCAGTTTAGGGGGGCAGCTAGAAAGATGTCTCTGATACATTAGTTTGTGCACATTTTGTTCAGTTTAGTCATCATGATTAAGTCTGTTAAATCTGATAAATGATTTCTTCTGTAAAGCTCTGAAGGGGCTTTTGATGACGTCATCAACCTTTTAACGGAGCTCTTTGAAAACTTGTTGTTCGGATCAGATAAAGGGGGCATTCAGGAGTCCCAGCGAGTCTAATGGAAGACTGTTGAATTGAAATATGGGAAATAAAAGTACTACAGCTTAGACTACACCACAAATTTGAAAAAAAACATGGGCTCTGAGCTTCAATTATTTCCTTTTCTATTTTTAACCCAACTCTCCTTTGAACATGTCGTTGTTTTTCTTCTGAACTCCGGTGGTCTAACTGGATGCTGTAGTGACATAGAAGTGTACTCCAGGATGTGTCGGTACAGCGTGACATCACTGTCGGGTGAGGGAAGAGGCCAAAAGAAAAGGGGGAGGGGGGGTAGAAAGAGATGTATGATTCAGTAGGAATTATGGACCTCTGTCTTAAAACCCTGGCGGAACACCCAGGGGAGGATCGATAGTTTGTCCTTGCAGGGTTTTCCTTCTCTTTTCGCATCTCTGAGATGAGCCTTAACCCCTTTTTGTACTGCTGAGGTGTTTTTAGAGAAGAGCGCACCCTTCCCCCCCCCCTCCACTGCACTGTTAACAGGGCCAGACTGAAAGACAAATTCCCCCCTCGGGGATCAATAGAGCGTCACAAATACGGTATTTGCTGCTATATCAGGCTCCTGATATGGAATGACACTTTAATCGACTCTGCACAAAGGCAGAAGGCTAAAATAAAGGCCTGCTGGATTTCTCAAACGGCCTCAGAGATGAAACACCAACTGCAAGTAAAAAAAAAGTCAAAGGCCTGCATTTCACATTGAGTATTGGACTCTCAAAGGCTCGCACATATTTGTATGTGTAACAAGCTTTTTTTTTTTTTCTTGCCCTGTGTGAGGGATTCAGGGTCATCACTGATTCAGCGACGGTCAGAAAGAAAACGTAACTTGAGCTCCAAAACATTTATTTCACAGATGGATAAGGATCACATGTGTAGGCAGAGAAGCTGGGTGCATTTTGTGGAGCCTCTGTGATTAACTCCTCTGTGCTCGTCCTAAAGATCCCGATCGTATTCAGCCAAAATGCACGTTTTCTGCACGGGGAGACGTTTTTCGAACTTGGCCAAATTCACTTGAATGTGCATCAGTGAAATAACTGAAATGTCAACCCTCAACATGATGGATGAGTGATTTTGTGTTTTGGAATTCAAT